CAGATGTTACTTTGAAGTATATTACTCAATTTCCAAATATTTAGCAATTTTCTAGTTATTGTTTTCTTATTGACTTGAATATTTCTGCTGTGGCCAGAGAAAATACGCCATATGATTTCAACCATTTGATATTTTTGAGACCTGCTTTGTAGACCCGTGCTTAATAAAAGTTTCATACCCGCTTGAAAAAAATGTTTACTCTACATTTTTCTGGTTGCCGTATTTTCTAAGTATCAGTTAGGTCAGGTTTGCAAACTTTGTCATATTGTTCCCTATTGTTACTAATAGTATTTCATATTGTTACTAATATTATAATACTCCAGATTGTTACTAATGATTATATCTCCTTATCCCATTAATTATAAGAACAGTATCTTAACTATGAATGTAAACTTGTCTATCCTCCTAATTCTGTCAATATTTGCTTTATGTATCACTAGGCTACGTTTTTACACATACAAATACAGATTCCTTTCTGGTGTATTTATTCCTTTGTCATTTTTGAAATAGCCCTCTTTCTCTCCAATAATATTTTTTATTTTATGATAGACTTGGTACCTAGGTCACTCAGGCAATTAAGCATCTGCCTTCAGCTCAGGTCATAATCCCAGTGTCATGGGATTGAGCTCCACATTGGGGCTCCCTGCTCAGCCCCTCTCCCTCTGGTCTTCCACTCAATTCAGGTACTCTCTCACTAGTTCTAATTCTTTCACTAGTTTTGTGTGTTCCCTCTCTCTCTTTCAAATAAATAATCTTAAAAAAATAAAAGTCTATTTTATGTAGTATTAATAAAGCCACAGCATCCTTCTTTTGGTTAGTATTTTCATGATATCTTTTCCATCCTTTTACTTTCAATTTTTCTCTATCTTCTTGTTTGATGTTTGTCTTCTTAAGAAGCATATAATTATTGTTTGTTTTTTATCCACTCTGTCTTTTAAGTGGAGGATTAATCCATTTACATACACAATAATTATGATATTTTTGTGTTTAAGATCATCATCTTACTATTTGTTTTCTCTTTGTCTCATTTGTTCAATGTTCCTTTTTCTTTCCTTTATCCCTTATTTGAATTAACCATATTTTTCTTTGTATCATTCTATGTCCTTACTCCCTCTATTAGGTTATTATGTTATTTAAACTGTTCTTTTTAGAGGTTATCCTACAGGTTGCAACATGCATCCTTTATTTAATAAGGCAATAAACTTTCATGCTATTATCACTTCCTGGACAATTCAAAGATCTTAGAACACTTATATTCCATTGACCCTCCCAACTTTTTGCTACTGTTTCTATCTTAAGTGTCTTTTAATCTACAACAGTTAGCTCCATCTCATTCATGACATTTTTGAAGAGACCAAGGCAGTTGTCTTGTAGAATGTTCCATCTATAGGATTTACTTGTTCCTCTTAGTTTCATTTAACTTGGTCCTCTATCCTGTCTACTCTTCAGAAACCAAAAGTGAGATGTAGCTAAATTAGATGTAGGGGAGACATACTTAGCAACAATACTTTAAAGCCAATGTTTTGAATTATATATTGTCACATCAAGGACACAGTAATTCTAACTTTGAAAAACTGTTGTATGGATTAAATGAGATGGCATATGTCAAGTGTCTATAATACCATCTGATACATAGTAGGTAAAGAGCAGAATTTCTCAACCTCAGCACTGTTAACACTCTGAACCCAATAATTTTCTGTTGTGGGAGCTGTCCTGTGCATTGTAGGATGTCCTGTGCTTCAGCAGCATTCCTGACCTCTACCCATTATATACCAGCTGCATATTCCTGTTGTCAACAACCAAAAATATCTCGAGACATTGCCAAGTGTCCCCTGGGTGGGAGGTGGGGGGAACTGGTGTCCCCTGGGTGGGAGGTGGGGGGAATTGGTTCCAGTTCAGAGCCATTAGTATAGAACAAAAACCCAAGTATTTGGTAAGTATTCCACAAGTACTTATTATCATGCCTTGTGCAAAGCTTTGAGATTAAGACCTAATGAAACATGATTTCTGACTTTAACATACTCGTGGTTTTGGAGAGAGACAATAGGCAAATAGGGAATTAATAGACGGCATGATAAGCGCAGTGATGAGGGCAATCACTGTTGTATGTGAGGAGAGGCATGCAACTTAGTCTGCAGCAGAGGTCATTTCATGCGATAATGGAGAACTCTGACTGGAGACCTGAGGGACAGATTTCTCTCCCCTTTCCCAGGAAGGCTCAAGAGATCAAATGAATAAAGGCCATTCATAATGAAAATCAATACTTCAGAAATGAATTATCAAAACCCATATAATTTCCAGGCTTTATTTCAGAGTAAGATCGATAAAGATAAATCTACTACCAAATATAGAGACACCAGTAAGGTAAGTCAGGAGTGGGAGCTACAGATGACACCATCGGCCATCTACTTCTTCAGCTGTTAGCCACAGATACATTCAGTTTTCCCATTCTGTAGCTCTCAGTCTGTTTGGGCACACAATGGATAAGCAACACCAGATTAACACGTCAGGATAATGTCACACACACCCTCTCTCGTTGACACTGGAAAGTCTTAACTAAGGGGGTCCATTCAACCGTGCATACTGGTCCAGCCACCTATGCTTTCATTCTCCTTCCTACCCGAGTACTTCTTTAAATCACTTGCAGTATAAATCAGAGACAGGTTACCTGTTCGCTCATTCTGTGTCCTCTACTTCCTGGGCATACACCCTGACTTTTCCCAGCCTCTTCTGCAGCATACTGTGGCCATGTGAACAATTCCTAATCCAAGGTATGTAACAGTGGAAGTCATATGTACTCTTTCCAGGTCTGGCCCCTAGAAACCTCCCATGTGCAATCCTTCATGCTGTTTTCCTTCCAGTGGTTTGATTCAGACACACACATTGGTTCCTTGGTAGCCACTGTTTAAAGATGGCAGAGCCGAGGCGTGAAAGGAGCCTGTGTTCCTGAGCCTCCCCTTGGAGGAGAGAGGCCCAGCAACCAAGAACACCCTTCCTGGGTTGGATATGAACAAGAAGTCAACTTCTGCATTCAGCCGTGAGAGCTGAGGGTTTATCTAGCAGAGCAGTGAGCGTTTGCCTCCTATTACACAAAAGTGGAGAAACAGCCAGGTTTACCCTGCGACTGCAAGCCGCTGGGTCCAGCAGATGTGCATGGGATTTCTGCTGTGTTCGCCAACCCGAAGAAAAGCGCCTTTTTGCCAGCATATTTCACTGATATTCCCTGGAGCTAAGTGGGCATGTGAGAGGCTATTTCCAGGGCCATTGCTAAAGATCACACTTCATCTAATGTCCGCAGCACAGAACTATGAAAGGCCGTGGGCTTTGATGTCAGACAGATGTGGCTTTGAATCTTGGCTCCCCACCCCCCACCTCTGACAATTCTTTGGCTTCAACTCCCTGGGCCTCGTTTCTTCATCTGCAAAATGAGGGTAATAACACCTCATAGGAATTTAGTGGGGATAAAACAACAGATAGCATACAAAACATCGGCATAGTTCCAAGCATGTCCAAGGTACTCAATGATCAATTAGTTCCCTCCCCACAATCATGAAATGAATAAATTAGGAGTTTATTTACCTTTCTAATCAGAAGACTAAGCAAGACGTGGCCTTTTCACAAAGAACTGTATATTTACTCTTCCACAGAAATGTTTACTACCTCATACAAAAAGAACCAGGTTCAACAAATACTTTTCCCTTTTTCCCTTAGTCTAAATAAGGAGAATTTAGGTTTGAAGCAACTTAAAAATATAAGCATACACAGAGGCAGCATTCATTATTTTTAGAACTCTTTTCCTTTATAAGAAATAAATGTCATATTTTTAAACCAACAACAGAAACATATGCTGACCTTTGACCCAGATGGAGAGCAATAAAGGAGAGGGTTCACACAAAGCAGGGGGAGTACCGGGTTCTGCTGGATAATACCCGTGTCGCCCCAGATGCAATGAGTCCAAGGGAAAAGGTGGCAGATGACAAAGCCAGCATGTTGGTGGCAGGCCCTCCACCTGACCCACGCCCATCTCTGTAGACGAGATGTGGCGACAGGACAGGTAACTCGAGCAGGAACCTTCTAGGGAGGCTGCTGGAGCAGTGAGTTGTGGCAGCCCTGCACCCCAACTGCAGGAGAAAGAGGCTGAAATGTCAGGCCAACCAGGATGCAGAGGGAAACGTGGAAAAGAACCGCCCACCGGCATGACTAAGTGCTCTTGGGGACAGGCCCCACTTAGAGGACAGGAAGCAAATATCCAGATGTTACGAGCTGCCAGATGTGATTAACTGAGGAAAGGTGAAGCTGCCCACTTAACCATCTAAGCAGCAGCCCCATCCGAGTGACCCAAGAGTTTTCTGCAAAAGCATTAATCATCACAACAAATGGAGGCTCCATCCATCTCCATCCCCACTCTCTTTGTCTCTCCCTCTGATAGAATAGCAGCCTATTTTTAAACCCTGGCACTACATTCTCTTGTGGAAACATGTGGGCTTCCTGACAGGCTGATGCTCAGAGGAGATGCAGGCACACTGAAGGTCCTGCCCACTCTCCCGTCCTTGCTCTCCTGTGAGGGGCGCGGGCGGCTCTGGCAGGAGGGGGCAGCGAAATAGCGAGTATCCAACACTGGCCTCCATGACAGCGAAACCCATGCGAAGCCATGGTGCTGGCTTCCACCCTCTGCGAAAGGGAAGAGGCTTGGGCAAGGACCAGCACCGTGTACAGATATCGATAGCAACAGCTCAAGCCTGGGAAGAAGAAAAATACACCCCAGATGCCAATTCTAGCATCTTTTAAAGAAAAGGAGTTTAAAAAAAAATAAAATAAAATAAAGAGAAAGAGTTTAAAAGGATCTCCATGTCTCTTTAAGATGTATCTAATGTGCTTTAAATAAAAGAGCAAACATTTCATTAAGCATTGGAGACCTTTTTTTGGCAAGGTCACAATGAAGTCAATTTACAAAAAAAAAAAAAAATACTTTTCAAGAAAGGAGGTTGTATTATACTTACAATCGCTCCAGCTGCTTCAAATCCTGGAAGGCGCCTCTCTCGATGACACTGACCTGGTTGTCTTCCAGATGCCTAGAACCAAAGAAACAGCAGCGGTCAAGGACAAGGGGCCTGAAGGGTCTTGGTGCTAGGCTCTGGGCCCAGCAGGCCAGGTCACTCAGCCCCTCCCACAACACTCTGCCCCGCCCCCCACCCCAAGCCAGGATCAGTCTGGTGGGACAAGATAATTCACATGCCAGCTTGGTGTGACGGTAACCAGGGTTTCGCCGCCTGCACACTTCTACCTGACAGATTGGTTTCCATGCCTCTATTTTAAGAATGTTCTCAGCAAATGTCCCCCCAAGCACTGCAGGATGTTGCACAGAAAAAGAAGAGGTAAAAGCTGCCTCTTATAAAAACCACACAGATATTCAGCATCTCTTTCCTTGGAGCTCCCTCCTCTAGGGATGTAAAAATACTTCATTAAAGAGGGCCTTCTCTGTGTACTCTGTCTGTGGGTCACCTAGTAGAAAGAGTGACCTTACTGTTGGACAACAGCCTGTGCCAGGAACTCTCCTCACCCAGAGCCTGGCTATTCCCAACGCTGAGGGTGATGGTCACAAAAGCTAGTCCAGCCACAGACTCCGATGACCTCTAAAGTCCTCCATGCAGATGATTAAAAACCTAAACACTTTGTTTAAGTGAGGCTGATTCAAGGATGTGGCATATCCTAAGAACTGAGTATACAATGAAACATTTGTTTCTCTAACTTACACACACACACACACACACACACACACACACAATGGCAGCTTAAATTGGATTAGCTTTAGGCTAAGGGAAGCAATGAGGGAAGGAAAGCAATGAGGTTGCCCAGTTTTCACCCAGGACCAATCCTGCTGGCTGAATAAGACTTAGAGGGATGCAGCTGTGTTTGAAACATGAGCCTTTGGAAGGAGGAGTTTAGGAAGGGCTGTGGGTGCCCGTGGATTAGGCAGAAGGAGAGGTGTCCCGAGCACCTAAAGGAAAAGCAGAAGGATGGGAGGCAGCTTTAAGGAAGCTTGATCTTCATCTCAAAATGATTCCATCCATGCCAGCCCCACGTCTCCAAAGGCATTTCATAACCTCTGTACTTCTTGGGCTTAACACTGGGGTCCTGGTGTTTATTTTCAAGTTCATCTTCCCCATGATGCCTAAGGACTAAGAGGGTAAGAACTTCTGTTTATTATCATACTCTTCACCCTAACACCATTGCCTAGTGCAGCAGCCACTTAAAAAAGGCTTTTCAATAATGAAAAACTAAAGATGCCTTGGGGCCACAAAACATATGATTTTCTATCAAGGGAAAGGCTAGTCTAGGGCATATGACACATCTGACTCAGACTACCAGAGTGATAAGGGATTTTGTTTGGGTTCAATGACATTTTACATTTTTGGTGAGTTTTTTGCACAAACAATTAAAAATCAATACCACACACACACACACACACAGACAGCCATATCACAAAAGAAGCTCCTTTTGAAAACCCAGCTCCTATATTTCCAATACCAACAACTGGTGGGAACTGAGTATGGGGTCAGGCAAGGCATAAGAGCCCCTCAGTCTGCCTCAGTCCTCGCCCACTCCAGTTCATACCTTCATGTTGCTCTGGCCCCTTACCATCTTCTCACTTAACAGATGTGGACACCATGAAGCAGGGAGTCTAAGAGAAATTGTTCAGATAAAGTAACACAGTCTTCTAGGACAGGCTCTCTAACCCCCAGTTTAGTGTGCTTGTCAAATCTGGTGTAAAACCCCTGTCTTGCTTTCTTACCAGCTGATGGTGTGACACTGGGTTATCCAGTCAACCTCTCAGGGACTCTGTTTCCTCATTTGTAAAATTAAAAAAAAAAAAATCTCCTAAGTCCTTGTGAGGGTAAAAATGGAATAAAGTGTGTAAATTATCTAGTCCAGGATCTGGAGTACAATCAGAGGCTTAATAAATGTTCTTTTTCCTTCCCTTGTCTTTCCCTCTATTCTGCCATATGGCGAGGAGGGCCTTGGAATGCCAACAGACTCACACTAGCACATCTCGCTAAATAGGGAACCAGTTCAATATTAGTGACTGGGGATTTGTTTAGCTGGGTTTTTACTATCAATCAATCCGCAGTGCTTGTTGTCATAAGTTCCCAATTATAACAAAGAGCAACACTACAGTGACTGAGTGTGATATTCTTGCTGGGTTTCTGAAGGAGTTTAACTCCAACCGCTGATGAATCTTTTAGTTCTGTACTAATTAACCTAACACTTCTAGCTTCTTTTAGAAAGGAGAGCCAAAAAAAGCAAAGACATCTGTATTAGATATCTGCCCCTTTTCTACTTTGCTCAGGCTCAGGGAGGCTAATTTTTGTCACTTTTCAGAAGCTTCTTGGACTCTGGTTTCCAGTTGAACCAGCCAATGGAAGGAACCAGAAGAAAATGAGAGGGTGGGATGGAGGGCTATCCCGGGATTTATTCCCACCTCCTTCCCTGCCAAGTAACTTCAGCTTGACTCTGTCTCTCTACCTAAGACCACAGATCCTGCCAGGTAGTTCCTACCTTGGTGGGACCGCTGAGGCCCAGAGTACTGGTGTAGCTCCTTGTTGCTAGCCCCAGGAAACCACACCACGTCTTCTTGGTTTCCCTTAACTTTGCCCACACCTTTGTAAATAATTCCTTATTTAGCTCTCCTTATTTGTCCTGAGTGAGTGTTACCTCTTTCCTGCTGGAATCCTGGCTGGTAAGGTAACTGGGATCCCTTTCTAGATCTACTTCCTAGACCTATGAGAGTCTAGCCTAGTAACTGACTTTTAAAGGTGCAATAAATAATCAACATCTGATGACGATCGAACGAACGAACGAACGAACGAACGAACGAAGCAGCTGGGAACCTTCCATCCAGACTTGCAGGCTGAGATGAAGTGCAGGAGCTTGGGCTAATGCCATTGATATCGCTCTCATTCTACTGACCAGATGCAGGCAGTCAGGGATCCAGGAAAGGTTGGATGCCCAGAAAGGCTGTCCATGGTTTGAGTCTGTTCTGAGTTAGAGACACACAGACTGTGTTCATTTTCGACTCTTTTAGCATTGATTTTTTTTAGTTTTAACACTCGGTCAGAATCGGAAATCGCCCCATGTGATGATGGCTGGGGAGGAGTTTAACTCTTTTATTAACCCCATTTGGGATAAAGCTGGCTCCCACATTGTGGGCATAGCAGAATTCTTGCAAAAACTACTAAGAAACGAAATATAATTGATAACACCAGATCTTTTCCTACTCTCACCCTGTGGGAGAAAGAATTGTTATGGGCAATTCTTCTATTTCTCCTTGAATGTACTTTATTTGGGGTAAACTGCCTCGGGATGAGACCAAAGTCCCCCAATCTCCATTTTATCTGCTTTTGCCCATTCACTTGCGCTGTATTAAAAGTTTTGCATGGAAATATGTGGCAAGCTCAAATTATTCAAGACTATTGAGTCTTTCCTGGCTTCACTATAAATTGTAAATAAGAAACAGATATAGGGAATGTGCCAAGGTGTGATGAAAGCTTTTCAAAAAAGATAGTTGTCTAGGTTACTCAGCTAAAAAGAATAGATTGAGGGAAAATATGGTTTAAATGTCTGGGTATTTTACTGGTGTGAGAAAGCATTTCAGCTATCCCACCTAACAGATTCTTTCACAGTAATAAAGGGCCACTTGAATGGGATTGTCTTTGAGTTGATAAGGAAGATAATGAAACACAGTATATTAACAGAGTCTGTAAAGTGGGGGAGGGGGAGTGTTTTGGTGTTGCTTATCAAAATAAGAAGAATGTGCCAATTAAGCTGGAGTCAAAGCAATGTTTTGTAGACCATCCAGAGGATATTAATACAATCTTTTGTGATTATTTTAAACTTTCTATTTGCAGAGAGCAGATATGGAAATTGGAATTTTTATTAGCCTTTTTGATGTAATGGTAAGAAAATCAAAGGGTTTTCTTTTCTGACTTGGTTCGAAAATGAAGCATTAGGTGAAATTTCTGACTTGTATGAAAGGAAATCTCTCACAGATGCAAGGGGGAAAATGGAAACAAAGAGAGAAGTTAAATGTTTGCTTTTTAAGCTGTCAAATGACCTGCAATCAGTTTACTGCCTCTATCTCTTCAATAAAAGTTACTCTAAAATGGAGCCACGGAATCGCTCAACCCACCGAGTCTCAATTCTGACCTCCCACGCATCTCCTGAGGGCTGCCGGTCATTTGACAGACATGGGACTGCTTAGGGCAAAAGACTCGCCAGAGGGTAGAGGCAGCCCCTCTTGCACTCCCCCCACCCCCCGCCCTTTCCTCCTGAGGATGGTGAGAGGAGTATGAACATGCCACAGCTGGAGAATATATCAAGGAGGAAACATCTGGTATCTGGAGGCCCAACATACAGATCCTAGTGTCCCCACACACTGGTGTTCAGGGAAACTCAGGTAAGCCGCTTACTTGCACACCAGGGCTGCATTTATAAGACGGGGCGACTACTGCTTCTTGGTTTTCAAAAATTTCTATAATGCAAATGGATAGCAGTTCTGCACAGAGGTTAGAAAGCACACGTTCTGGGTTCTGATTTCTCCTTGCCATGTGAAGCTGGGACAACTTAACCAACTGTGCCTCTGCTTCCTCTGGGCGGACAGGAGTTCTAACCATATAACACAGAGCTTGGTCTGCAAAAGGTACTATATATCTGCTGGTTATCCTCACCACTGTTACCACTACTACTTCTCCATCAGAAAAGCAATGCTATACAAGTAATAGTCCACAGGTTGTGGTGAGAATAAACAGGCTTTGTGATGATGTTAAAACCATAGAGCTTAACTGTGCAACCATGAGAGTCAGGAGGACTTCTGACTATTTGTTATGGGTGGAATTATATCCACCCCCTACATTCATATGCTGATGTCCTAATTCCTAAGCTATCATAATGTGCCCTTATTTGGAGATACTGTCCTCACTGAGGTAATTCAGTTAAAATGGGGTCATTAGGGTGTGCACTAATCCAATATGACTGGTGTCCCTTGTGACAAGGGAAAATGTGAACAGAGACGGCACAGGAGGAGGACAGTGTGAGAGACTCAGGGAGAAGACAACCATCCAGAAACCAGGGATCCCCCACCAGAAGCTAGAAGAGGGGCTGGATCCCATCCTCCCCCTCAGCCTCAAAAGGAACCAACCTCATCGACACCCTGATTTTGGATTTCTGACCTCGGAAACTGTGAGACAATACATTTTGTTGTTCAAGCCACCCACTGTGTGGTTCTTTGTCACAGCCGCCCTGCTGAACTAGGGCTTTACTTACTTACACATGAAAAAACTGAGGTCCAAACAGCTAGAGTGATGCCCCGAAAATCACAGGGGCAGTTAATTTTGATGTAGGACCAGAACATGGTACTTCCTATCCCTACAATAAAATTCTTTGTATTACAATGTGCTCTTGGTAAAAAGAAGGAGATGGTTTCAGATACCAAGACTCCGGCTGCTGCTTCTAGTGGGGACTTGCCATCCACGATTCCCTAACAGAAAAAACACCAAGGCAGTGGCCAGATTGCCCGGACGATGTTTCCGGGCTGGAGCCACACCTGTGGGGCAAAATCAGCCTCTGAGTAAAACAGGAAAGAGGCTCCAATTGCCTCTCTCCTTTACCTCTAAAAGCCTCACACTTGCCAACGGACAAGCAGTGAGACACATTCTTAAGACTCACAGACTTAGGGATGGGTGAAGGTGTTCAATATTTAGCAAGGAAACCTGGTATTTCTTTCTTTTTTTTTTTTTTTTAAAGATTTTATTTATTTATTTGAGAGAGAGACAGTGAGAGAGAGCATGAGCAAGGAGAAGGTCAGAGGGAGAAGCAGACTCCCTGTGGAGCTGGGAGCCCGATGCGGGACTCGATCCCGGAACTCCAGGATCATGACCTGAGCCGAAGGCAGTCGTCCCACCAACTGAGCCACCCAGGCGTCCCGGAAACCTGGTATTTCTTGCTCCCCGGTTGCATCAATACCCAGCTCCAATTTTGCTACCTGTCTCTGTACAGCTGTGCGTATAGAGCAGGGGCTCTGACCCTGCCTGCCTCTCTCCCTCCCTTCTCCTCTCCTCTCCTCTCCAGTAAGCAACAAGATAAATAACTTTCCTTCTGATACCCTTTTAACGCACAGGCTGGAGAAGGAATTATAATCTCTATGAAGAGTAGCATGGTTAGTCAAGCTGGTATTGCTGTCATCCTAGAAGCTGGGGATGTTGATTTATTTGTGTAGAGCCTTCTGTTTTCCCTGTCCCTGACTTCCTCCACTGGTCTAGCCCAGCCGGCAGCATGGAGACACAGAAGGAGATACCTGTGAAAACCCGGGTACACGAATGAAGGGTTTTCTGTTGCAGAATGGTACATTCCTGTCACCCAGCGTAGAGGGGTGTGATGTCAGGGCAGCAGAACATTTTCACAAGGCCGAAGAGCTGAAAATGAAAATGCCATCAAAGAGCCCTGTGTTACTTACAAGACCCGGAGGTTCTTGAGCCCAGCGAAGTCCATCTTGGTGATCCTGGTAATGTTATTTCTGTCCAGGTCACTGCAATAGAGAGCAAATTTGGGTCAGATTTTTTTGCAGGTTATACTTACGGTCTATTCAACTCAGACGGGCTTGAAGGAATGTTGCTTGTTAAGCAGAAGGTAATTCCAATGATTAATGTCATCCCCTGAGCACGCCCAACCAACCTTAAGGATACTGTATGGAATAAGCTACCCATTATGTAGGTAGGAGAGCCCTGCTATATTTAGCCGCCTGGCTTCTGTTGCCCCTTCTCTGGGTAACAGCTCTTTCTTTGGAAGTCTCCTCCCCCAACTCTCAGATCGTGTCACGTCAGTGAGGCTGACCCCTCTTCCCAGGTCCAGACCTAAGCCAGACTAGGCTTATAAGCATCTTTACTCCCCCTGATCACAGTACTTGTTTCAGGAAAGTATACATGACTCAGATTCCTAACAGCTCTCTCCACACTGGGTTTCCAAGCTGTTCATCATTGCCAGAAACCATTTTGCCACCATGAAGAGAGAGTTCTCCAGAGTCAAACAGAGACTGATTCCTGGTGCTGTCCTGTGAGGACGTGGGCCTACCCAGGCCTGAGTACTTCCTCATTTTGAAATTACTTGAGCCAATCTACCCCCATCTCCCTTATATTTTGTCTTAAAACTGTTTGAGTTGAATTTTCTACCACTTGAAACCAAAAGAATCTTGACTGACTTTGGTACCTACTTAGGTATTTGTTTATTTTCCAGCTGGTCTGCAAACTCCCTGAGGACAAAGGTAATATCTCATTTTACTTCCACAGCCCAACCTAGAGAGGATGTGCCTGGCACAGAGTAGAAGGAACTTTGCTGATCTGATACATTAGGTAAAGACAGTTATGTGGATTGCTCCTGCCTCAACTGGTAGGTTTACGCTCCTAAAAATGGTCCCAAAGAGAAGAACTTGCTATGGAAGGACTGAAAGCATTACGGTGGTATTTGTGGTGGGGAAAAGGGGCACCATGGGTAATGGAAAACCAGGGTTCGATAAAACCAAAGTCAAGAATGAGCCTATGACTAACTGTACATATATTCTGTGTTCACTAACATTATCTAAGACTAGATGCAAAAAAAAAAAAAAAAACCATGAATAATATGTTACAGTGCTTAATAACGATGCTGAATGACTAATTCTTATCTACCATACCTTCCTGAGAAACTTCTCAGGGTTTTGGCCACACTGGACTTTCAACAAGTCACTTGTCAACTGGCTTTGCTCTTGTCCTGAACATTCAGAAACCAAGGAGGCCATCTTCCCTATGACAGATCCCCATCCACATGGTCACTACTTCTTGGGTTTTCCTAGCCAGGGCCCAAAGCTGTCCTCCTGCAGTCAAGCCTCAGAGGGACCTGTGAGCTCTGCAGCAGTGTCAAAGGAACAGGGAAACAGTCTTCAGATTCTAGCACTTTATGAGGAGGGCTTCTACTCCTGACTTGGAAAATAATACCAAAATAAAAATCAAGTGAGTCCTTGGGGAACCTCACCTGGGAACCACCTCCGTTCCTCATCCAGTTTTCCACGGCCTAAAAGAGCACTCAAGTTGTTTCTTGACTAGCCTGTGATGGAGAGAGGCAGTATATAGCCTTCCCAGACCAAGCTGAGCGCTGGTAAAGGAGGAGCAAGAACTACCCAGGGAAATAAAGAAAGGTCACCTGTGTGAGAATGAGACAGCAGCGCACAGCTAGGAACGCGTGCGTGCTCATGCTCACCCTGAGTAGTATCCTCAACTCCTGTCTCAATCAGGACTGATGTTTGGGGACACTGAAAACTGCAGATATGACAACGCAACTAAGGGTTTAATTACCATGGCCCGGCATGGTCTCTCAGCAGCTTGTGCTGGTGGCTGTGGCACCAATATTTTCAATTAATAGTTAGTATGTGAAGGGGCACAAAGCGTGCTGCTGAAACACTGAGGACTTGGCAGTGGGGGTGGGGGGGGAGGGACCGGTCATGGGGTTGCCGCCCTGGGCACACAGTGCATGTTGGGGAGGCAGAGCTTCAGGGACAAGCAGCCCTGAGTTTGAATCCCTGCCCTGCCACCTGCTGAGTGGCCTCCGGGCAGTTCACCTCATCTCCGAGGCTCAGCTGCTCCTTTCACAAACAGGGTGGTCGCCTCAACCTCCAGGGCTTTTATGAAAGTCGAACGAGATGACACATGCACAGTGCTCACGCGGGGCACGTGTCAGAGACTTAGTCGTGGCAGTTATTGTTACGATCATTAGTCGAATGACATCCTTCTCCCCTGCACCCGCCACTTCCAGCCTGAAATTCCAGCGCAACCGCCTGCACCACCCCAAACCCTGTGCCCACAGATGAATCCTGGGAACTCCAGGACACTATCTTCCCGTAGATGGAAGGGGGGTACATTTTGTGATCAATACGTGGTAAAATGGCACCACAAGCAGCCCCCTCACGCTGCCCCTCCCTCTCACATTTCTAGGACACCCATTTCCAAATCCTCCCCGGGCCTCCCAGCACACACACTGCCCACCTGCCAGGAAGGAGGTCAGGGAGCACGTTCCTGGGCTCTGAGGTGAGACAGGTCAGGGTTCAAATCTCTTCCCTATCCCCTAGTATTAGGGGTATAAGTTAGTATTTTACTTAACTTCTCTGAGCCTCCATGCTTTATGTAAGCCTCTCCTTCTTGCAACCTGAGAATGGCGAGGAGCATAACACTTGACTACAAGCATGCTTGGCTGAAAATGGGAATTAATTAAATGGACACTGAGAACAGGCTGTACTACCTCATGTGCCCATCGTTCCCCCAGCTCCCCTTGTCCCAGTCCAGGCTACTCTGGAACTTCAGCCTTGGCCGTTGAGGGAATCAGAATCCGTGTATCTTAGCCTCGCACGAGTTTGGAACCACCTGCGAGCATGAACACTAGGTGGGAAGCCACTGCGGTTCTAGCTGTGGGCTAGGGAAGTGGGGTGGTATGAAAACATGCCTGCGAGTTGTTTCATTGACAAGCCTGCCGTCGAGAGGTGGAGTCTAGGTCCCTTCCCCTTGAAAGTGAGCAGGCCTCATGACCGCCTAGACAAGCCTGGGGCAAGAATGATGTTGTGGAATTTCTGAGGCTGGGTTAGAAAAGGTAGTAAGCGACTGCCTGGCTCTCTCTTGGAGCACTTGTACAGGAGCCCTGAGCTACCATGTGGGAAGACCAGAAGGCCTAGAGCCACCACCGGTAAGGCCATGTGAGAGGACCAGAGAGAGGGAGAGACAAAGAGGTGCCAGAGGGGCCCCGGCGGTTCCACTCTGGCTATTTGGTTGTTTCCAGCCTAGAGGTCAGGCACGGAAGTGCAAACATCTTTGAGGTCTCCAGCTCCAGCTATCATCTGGCTATGACTTATGAGAAACTCTGAGCCAGATCGCCCAGCTGAACTACTCTTGAATTCCTGCTCACAGAAACTGTGAGGGAGAATACGAAAATGAGCACTGTGTCTTAAGCCTTTAAGTTTTGGAGTGATTCGCTTGGCAACAAAAGGGAGATGGAAGAGAAAGGAAAAGAAAGACACCTTTTGAATGTTTAATTTACCATTGACAATGGAAGTCCCTTCATATGACTCTCAATGGCATGGCCTTTCTATGCTTGCCTAAGATCCTCAGTCCCGTCGTTATGGTCAAAGATGGCTCACAGGTGCAAAAAACACCCATTCTAGGAACAAAGTGAGAACCGGCTCTTCTCTCAGGAGTAAAGGCTGCATAGTTATGGTTGCCCATCTCTTCAAGTGAGACTTAGGATACCATAAGAATCACCCTGGTGTTATGTTAATAACTGCAGTAGTGGGTACCATTCAGTGAACATCGTGGTAGAGACTGGCAAGTCGTCCACCAAACCATTTCTCCTCTGTCTGGTGAGCACAGCGTAACATTTCTCAGTCTCCCTGGCAGGGATGGGCAACCATATGACCAAGTTCTCACTATTAACACAGGCAAAGGCAATAAATACTGCCTTCAGGGCTGACCAGTAACACTTCTTGTCCAATCCTCTGCGCTCTTTTTCTTCCCTCTGCTTGGGCTGAATTCAGTAAATCCAGTGGGGGACTCTAGGAAGGGCAGCCAGGAAGGGTCTGAGTCCTTGAACGACTGCATGGAATAGCAACCTTCTCTCCCCTGTCTCTCCAGTTACCTACATAAAACTCAGACACATTCAAGAAATAATTCTTTTTTTTTTTTTTTTTTTAAAGATTTTATTTATTTATTTGACAGATGGAGATCACAAGTAGGCAGAGAGGCAGGCAGAGAGAGAGAGGAGGAAGAAGGCTCCCTGCCGAGCAGAGAGCCCGATGTGGGGCTCGATCCCATGACCCTGAGATCATGACCTGAGCTGAAGGCAGAGGCTTTAACCCACTGAGCCACCCAGGTGCCCCTCAAGAAATAATTCTTAAAGCCACTGAAATTTTGGGCCTGTTTGTTATAGCGGTCTACACTGACAAATGCAATATCTTTGAGTCAGGATCTTTCCATCTTTTTTATTTTTTTCTTTCTCTTCACAACAGTTCTGAAAGGTGGGTGTTATTATCTTCCTTAAACAGATAAAAATACTGAAGATAAACCTTAATAAGATCTGATGTTTGCTGGGCCCAAACTATGTACACTGTGTTAAAAACTGTATGTTCATTTTCTCTTATCCAGACACCAATCATATGTGGTAGGTACTACTATTATCCCATTTTGCACAGGAGGAAGCTGAAGCATAATTTCCCCCACCCCAATCCACCTTAGATTTTACCAATAAAGCAACTTGCCATGAAGTCATACAACCAGTAAGTGGCAACAGCTGGGATGTGAACTTGGGCTCTCTGAATGGAGAGGACATATTTTTTTTTTTAAATCACATCATGCTCCTCATCTATAGCTAGACTCTAAGCATTTTCTATTACAACAGGTTAGCTGCTGACTGAGAGAAAAATGAATGAATAAATGAATAAATAGAACAGTACAGAATAGAATTTCCCATCCCATCTTAAAAGAAAGCAAAGGGCACTCCTGGTGGACTTCAGTGGTT